GGGCTGAGGGATGGTCAGGGCCCGTCCTCCCCAAAGGCCGAGCCGGCGGCAAACCCCACTGTGTCAGCAAAACATGAAATGGGGACGCATTTCACATCTTTACAATTTTAAAAACAAAATTTTAAAAACTAAAATCCATGCCCTGGCTGGTTGGGCTCAGTGGACAGAGGTGGGCCTTCGGACTGAAGGGTCCCGGGTTCGATGCCAGCCAAGGGTACAGCCCGGGTTGCGGCTCGATCCCTAGTGGGGGGCGTGCAGGAGGCGCCAATCAATGATTCTCTCCCATCATTGATGTTTCTATCTCTCTCTCCTTCTCCCTTCTCTAAAATCAATAAAAACATTTTTTTACAAAATCAATGGGAAAAATATCCTCAGGTGAGGATTAACAAAAAAGATGTAGGGCTTCAAACACTGGGTGTGACGTTGCTAAAAGGGTAGGTTCGGGTTTGGCAGGACAACTGGATTCTGGGTGGAGGTGGGCGGTGCAGAGCGTGGCGGGCGAGGGGCCGGGTCCTGCCTTTAAAGGTCACTCTGGTCCGCTGCCTGGCATCAGGCCTGGGAAGACTGCGTCCTGCTCCGGCCGACACGCGTCATCACTGCCTGTCTAACACCCGAGAATAAGTACCTCGTCCAGCGAGTTCCGGAAAGCCTGCGGAGTCACAGCAGGTAAAGCGCCCTCAGTAACTTGCCCACTTCTGAGCAGAAAACCATTATATTATTTATTTTTACTCGGGGAAGGTCTTGGGCAGAAGTTACCTAGATAGAGAATTTACCTCGAAAATGTATAGAAACATGTACAGAAACCTGCAGATAATGCCAACCGGCTTGTCCTGCGACGTTTTCAATAATGCAAGTAGCTGTGGGTACACAGGCTACGGTTGTCATTGCAATGACGTTATTTGTTACTAAACGTTAACACCAAAGTGAAGGCAGGCTCGGGGAGGGGAGTTTGCTGTGTCGGCCCTTCCTGTCTCTTGCTGTCTGCTGGCCTCCCTGTGTCACTGACTTTCTAGTTCCTGCCCTTTTTATCTCAGGGATAAGACCAGCGTTTCAACACTTCACTGAAACGTTTTTGGTGCTTATTCTTTTTTAAAAAAACATATTTTTATTGATTTCAGAGAGGAAGGGAGGAGAGAAGTAGAAACATCAAGGATGAGAGAAAATGATGGATCGGCTGCCTCCTGCACGTCCCACACTGGGGATCGAGCCCGCGACCCAGGCCTGTGCCCCGACCGGGACTCGAACGGTGACCTCCTGGTCCCTTGGTCGAACCTCAGCCCCTGAGCCGCGCCGGCCGGGCGGTGCTGATGCCTCATCAGGCTCCTGGCAGATACGCTTTAGGACGTCTTTTCTGGCATCTCCTAAAATCCTGTTGAGATCCTTGTTCTCTAATGTTTATTCTTAGCAAATAAATTAAGCACGTTCATTGCCTCAGACACCATGCGTTCCGCGGAATGAAGGACAGAACCCCCTGAGGTACGTGGCTCCGCGTCCTGACCACTGAGAGCTCTGTGTCCGCCCGGGCGCAGCGTGTCCTGCTCTCCCCAGCTCCTGCCGCCATGCCGCGGGCCGTCCTGAGCGCCGTCCTCCTCCTGGCCGTCTCCGCGCCGGCTGCCTTGGCGGTGGGTGAGTCACCTGTCCTTGCTCTGCCCACAGGCCTGCAGTCCACGGGATCGTGGGGAAATGAGAGGGAGACGTGGACATGCCCTATGGTCTTATTTACTCCCAATTCCTCATGTGGACTGAGCCCCCTCCCCCAGAAGAAAGGAAGGAAGGAGAAATAGAGCTGCCGGGAGCAGCATTTCTGACTGTCACTGGATTGAGTGCCCACCGGAGGCACGTTCTGGTCATTAGGTACAGATGGTAAGTAAGGACTGATGCGGCCACTGCAGCTCTCCAGGCCTGGCCAGTGTGCTCAGTGCCTCGAGCGCTGTCCCATCACCCAGAGGTCGCTGGTTCCATTCCCCGTCAGGGCACAGGCCCGGGTTGCGGGCTTGATCCCCAGTAGGGGGCGTGCAGGAGGCAGCCGATGTTGCTCTTTCCCTCTCCCTTCCTCTCTCTCTCAAATCAATTAAAAAAACAAAACATTAGCCCTAGCCAGTTTGGCTCAGTGGATACAACATCAGCCTGGGGACTGAAGGGTCCCCGGTTTGATTCCAGTCAAGGGCACATGCCCGGGTTTCGGGCTCGATCCCCGGTGGGGGGCGTGCAGGAGGCAGCTGATCAATGATTCTCTCTCATCATTGATGTTTCTATCTCTCT